TGAATATATAATCCTTTTTATTAATTAAATATTTGCAGTAGCCTTTTCAAATATATTAACAAATTTTTGAAAAATTTTGTCAACTTTGGTTTGATTTTGAAATTTTGTTATATTAGAATTTCTAATTAATAATTGATTGAAATTTTGAATTGGCTGATTAACATATAACAAAAAGATAAATAAGATATATACTTCTTATATCTTTTATTATACAATATAATAATAATAATATAATTAAAAAAAACAAAAGAGTAAAGTATTAGAATGTCCTCTTAAATAGAAGTAATTTGATAATTTTTCTCTTCTCTTATTTTAATTTCTTTTTTTTTTCAATAAGAAGCTTTTTTTGTTATTAATTATTTCAAAAAAGTATTAAGTCAAAGAGCAATAATTTCTAATAGATATAAGACTTGTCCAAATATTTGTAAGTCTTGTTATAAGTATTGTGATGGTTAATCAGTGAATCTGTCACTAAAATAGGCAGAACATCACATAACTATCGATAAGATAAGGAGTTTTAGTAAATTTTAAGGCATGTAAAATTTAGTTAAGTAAAAATATAATTCAATTAATTCATATTCTTTATTTACTTTTTAGTTTTTTCTTTTTATATATTTTAATTAGAATGGTTTTACAACCTAAAAATAAAGGTAACATCAATTATCTAATGTTTTCTTATGATACTTCCTAATTACATAATACTCAGTTATAATTGTTTTATAATATTCAATTGTTTTCATGATCCTCTTCTTATTACTTAATTTTTTAATATGTTATTTTACTACTATTTTAACTATTTTCTATTACTATTGTTTACATTTTTCATTATATTATTTCAAAGATCCATAATAGAAATGGATTTTTCCTGGTACCAATGTGATAATTGATTATGTAACTAGCATTGTATTATGATTTTTACCTTATGATAGTATTTTGAATATTCTTAATCAGCAATGAAATAGTGAAAATTAAATAGTTTGTCTAGTTACAAGTAATAGTAAAAATATATTTTAATAAATTAATTAATATTTGAGAATTTTTATTTATTAAGACAAACTTTTCAAATATCTCTTTTTTCTTATTTTTTAAGATCCCAAGTTTGTATAGGGATAATAGTCTAAATATAGACTAATTATAATTTTTCAAGACTAAGAAATTATTTTGAAAAAAAAGCAACTTTATTATTTTTTATAATTATACTTAAAAAATTAAGATTTGAAAAATTCAAGATAGTTAATACCATATAATAATAATTTAATGAATTTTCTTTTTTATAGCTAAATTATATAGAAAATACTATAATCTTGATATTAAGAATTCAAGAATCATATATTTATTAAACTTTAATAAAATAATTTTGTAATTCTAATAATAGTAATAATAAAAATAATAAAGTTTTGTTATTGATTAATTAATGATTTTATGATAAAATATTAATCTAAAGATATTAAAAAAGAATTTATAATTTATTGACTTTTTTTATATAAAAATTTAATAATTAATTATAAAATTCAAAAAAAAATTTTAAATATTTTTTATAATATATAAATTAATTTTATAAAATTAATTTTTGATTTTTTTTTTACTTTTATTAACAGACTTATGAATTCAAACAATTTTATTAATTTTTTATTATCTCTAATATATAGTGGAATTTGGATATAGCTTTAAAATACATATATCTTTAACTTTGAATCAAAATTTGATTATATTATTATAATATGTATATTTAAAAAAATCTTTTTCAGTAACTTGATACTTTAGATTTTTAAATATACTGTATGTATATTTTTAAATTTTTATTATATTTTATTAATTGGTTATTAATTTATAAATAAAATTAAAAACCGAATATTAGTTCAGACTTTTGCACCATACTGTATATTTTTCTAAAAAAGATTTATATAGGCACTAACCATGTTAATTCTTATATTTAGATCAAAAATAGATAGTAAACTAGTATTATGATATACTTATTTAAATAAGAGATACTTATACAGTATGATTATACATATGATTACAGTAAACAGAAGTTTTAATGCTTTTTGCTCTAATAAAAAGATTTTTATAATCTTGAATTTTTTAGATTTTCTAGATTTGTTTCCTTCATATACAGTATTAAATAATATAATTTACGAAATAACATCTAATATTAGGCTAAATACTACCCGCTTATTATTCTTGTCTCATCAAAGCAGATAATCTCAGGGCCGACATACTGCATATACAGCATTACAACACAGAGACAAAAGAAATGTCTATTCGTATGCAGCATATAAGGATAAGCTTATAATTAAAATTTGACGCAATCGACAATTCGTTACTCAGCTAAGTATCGAACTGCAGTAAAAAAGGGCTGTTACATCTTAATGTACTAAAGGTGAGTGTTACATGTCACACCACATGTATAAATAAATATTTTCATTTGTTTTGTTCACATTTGTTCGCAATGCTATAACGCATAAACGGAAATTAGCGAGTTGGGAACGTATCCCTTCGAGGCTGGTAGATCATGTACTTATTGAAGATTCTCATGGAACTGCTAGAATTCGGATATTAATTTCTTCGGTTCAAATTGAAACCGTGTTACACATTTGTAGAAGTCTTGTGAACAACAAGGTCAAGATAATGAAGAAGAAATTCTGGATTGTGACAATGATAACAATAAAAACTCAATAGGAACTATATAGAAAGAGTAGAACAAGATACTCAAAATACATATCATCAAGAGTAATGGATTTTGTCCAGCGGTACAGACGTTGCAGTGTCACATTCGGCGAAAATTTTATTAAGCACAATGATCTTGCATTTGCAGTCCCGTCTACTGAGGAGTTCTAGATCTTATCGTGACCATGCTAACGATGTCGCCCAGTCATACCGGAGAAAATAATAAAGGCAATTCCGTGGGGATGTTTTGGAACCTTAGCTGGAATGCCTACCAAGAAACAATGCAGTGATGTTATTGGTTTGAGCTTAGATTTAAAAAGAGTAGTTACAGTATCTAAGCATCAAAACAGTGGATGTGATTTGTCCGTGTTTTCCAAGCAGGACAAAGAGAATCCCTCTACTGGTAAGGTCAATATTTGTAAATTAATAAAAGCGTTATCACACAGCAATCATAGTTTCGTCTCTGACATCAAACTTGTCAAGTATACTGACGAACTACAATGGTTTATACTAATCGAAATAAGGTGCTCGATCGTCTAAGACCTTTGAAGAGAACTTTGGATGACATAGTGTTAATATCAGACATCTCAAATATGTATTTTATTATAGCGTACCACGTTAAATTGCCATTTTGGCAGTTACCGTTCTCACTGTTCAATAACGAGATGGACATCGGAATAAGATGTTTTCGTTACTATCCGCGGGCATCAAGCCGAATTTTGAACGTCACATGTTCGCTTTGCCTGCAGACTGCACGATAAGAATGAAGTTGGAATTTCGCAAAATTCCAAGATTTTCGAAAAAAAAAACCACCGCACATAATTAACTATTAAAATTCTAAATATCGACTTTCGTCAGATATAGTCTTTAAACATTGGTGTGATTTTTGGAAATTTTCAAACATTTCTTATTTATTCCGTGAACAGTAATATTTCCAAATTAGTCTCCATCGTACGATGTTAGATTTGGACACAATAAAGTGCTACTACTGTACGTTGTTATTATTGTGTCCGTGCGGTCCACAATTTTCAAAACTTAACGTTGTAGATTTAGGTAAGCCTTACACACTTAAGAAATACAGTATATATATTTGACCCTTGAATTATTTCTCCAATAATATTCAGGGTTAACACTTGTACAAATGTTGCTGGTTTCTCAATGCCTTAGTAAACTTGACCCTGGAGATTTCTGTTCGGGTCATTCTTTGCCATGTTAGTTTTCTAATAAAAGAGGATGCATCTTTGCGTCTCTATTCATTCTGTGATATTGAAAAAAATCTTTCGAGCATCTTGTTTGGAAAAGATACGAATCGAATGATAGATGTTTTTGTTTTGTCATCAAGCAAGGGGTAATTTTTAATTGACGGAAAAACTTAAATTAAATTTTTATCCCCAGCAGGAGAATTTACTTAAACGGGAAATCATATGAACATAAATTATTTAAAGTAAAATATGTGCCGTATATGCGGCATAATTTATAAATAAAAAATAGAATTTTTTTTTATTTTATAAAATAAATTTTATTTCAAACTAGAATATTTTTTTTTTATAATTTAATTTTTTCTGTTATTCGGCCAATAAATTTTAATGATTTTACTTTTCAATTTAAGAAACCTATTTTTGCAAATACGGAATACAAAAACAATATTATAGTCATCTCTTACTTTGAGCACTCTTCTCAGCCACATGAAAAAAATTTACATTTTAAGAAAGTAGGCATTTGGAGTTTTAAATAACTAATTGGAAAAAAATAAAATAAAATAATAATAAATTAAAAAAATTTTTTTTATCATTGTTATTATTTTTATTAATTTTTTAAAAAACCAGGAGTTGAATTATTTTGTTCTATCCGTATTAACAAGCATGATAATAACATTGTTAAATATGAAAAATTATAAGTGAGATTCAATCGCTTCATGTGGAATTGATTACCAATATGAAGGAAGAGCACGATGTTCGTACAAAGATAAATAGTAATTACGTTGACGAAGTATACAAGGAGAAACACGTTTTAATATAACATGAATATTTATATATGAAAATAGGTATAGATTGATTACTTTATTTATATTTGTTATAGTATACAAGGTCATCTTACATAAGGTTGCCTCATAGCTCACATGTTGCAAATTATGATTATGATTAGAATGATTAGAATAATCCTCCCGCAAATAACGTTGTTCTTTTCGAACTAAAAAAGGAAAGACGAGGCAGAATGCGGGTGGATACAATGCAGATCTGTTTGTTACGCCAAGGGAAAAAAAAAATCATAAAAAAAGCAAAGACGTGCGGAAGTTCGTTCCTCTTTTTCATTTTCACACTTTTCTCATTATCATGGTGACTTCTCAACGGACAAATTTTGGGACAAGTTCCGAACGTCCTTTCGTGGTTCGGGGCCGTTTGATAAGCCAAAGTTCTCATCGGTCTTCAGTTTTGTCGACGAACAGCGCTATTTCCAGCAATCAACACAACCAAAGAGAAAACCCAAATAGTCCGTCGAGTGAATCCGAACAACAATCCAATTATTCGCCGGCAAACCCACTTGTGGTTGATAATGTCGTTTCTGTGCAAACATGTATGAAAATTGTTTTTGATCACACTGCCGCCAGTTTATTTTGAAATTGTATTGATCCAATTGCGTGACAAAATAAAATGCAGTATTCGCACATCTGAATCACATAATCCGATTTACGAAAATATATCATCAAGACCAGAATTTGTTCCTGCGATACCTGGCTCGAGCGGAACTTCGGTATCTCATATGGCTTAATCTATTGGATCAACTTCGTCCGCAACCAGACTCGATTCCCATGCCTCCATTAGGTATTACTTTCATTGGTCAGTCAATATACACGTGATTTGTAAAGCTTTAATCAAAATTTTTTTAGATGTCGCCTTGTTTTGGTGCGCGCACACGACAAATGTTCTTACCTATAAAGAGGATTTGGTAAGATTATTTGGAGAACATATGTTGGATTATAATTTTCCTCTATTGCACATGGTAAGTTGTGTCGCCGTTAATCTTATAGGAATCGGCAATAACCTCAACCATTGCTCAGAGAATCTCATTTTGTGAATTAGGACGCGATAAATGCAGAGGGCGAGGATTATGTTGACGCGGATTCTTCCGAGACGTGGCAGTCATTTTCAGATGAACCATATATTTTGGAATTTGATGACCACCGACCTTTCTTGATTAGTTGTCCATTTTGCATGGAAGGAAATACCATTGATCCGGGTATGAAATTTTGCGTGGCAAGGTTTTTATTATTGATTTTCACGCGGACTTCCTGACCATTTTCGATTCTCATAGATACGTACGTGCAACTTAAAATGAATGCAGTATCACATTCTTGCGAGAACTGTTCCTTGGAGTTGAATGCTGATATTCTTTCCGCAAAACGATTATTGAATGATATTCAATACTTTCTATTGGACGATGTAAATTGTCTCGCGTAAGTTGATTTTCAGATGAAATTTTATGGCGCAACGCGAAGATAAGAACTCACTTTTTATTTATTTTGTAGTGGAACGCTTCTGGACACAGAAAAAAATCAAATCGATATTTATATGGCCGTCAATGATAATAAACTTTTATTCGATCATGATTTTATACGAGAACTTATTCGCCTTGTTTCTCCCGTGTATACGTGAGTATTAACGTCCTGACTTTTCGAGTGGCTTTCTTGGATCGTTTTTCACATTGCATGATGAACAAAAAAATTTCTTACAGCGGCATAGCATCACCACCTTCGCTTTATGTTCCAAATATAACCAAAAACTGCAATTGGCACAACATTCAGCGAGAGTTCTCCGCAGTTTTATACAGACTTGAAATGCAAGGAGAGCTTTGCAACGTTCGTAAAAACATTCTCAGCAAAATCATAACTGCCTACCAGAATCTGTTCACGCCATTTTCTCTGGATCTAATAGCTGCTGTTATTCGGTACAAGGAAACTGTCGAGAAAATATTGTGTAATGGTGATTGGGAGAATGAAAATGTGGTGGCAGTGTCTACCGTGAGGTATCACAAGTTCATGATGTTGACGGAAAAACATCCGGATCGGATTCTGGTACCCACAATGGGTAAATTAATATCTTTATTTGTCGAAAGGTTTTGTTCAATGCGGTTTTAACAAAGGTTTAATTTTATAATCAGACATATTACTGTGCTGGTATACTCATATGTTATGGCCATCGAAATACTATGCGTTCACAATCGGCCTCACCGGTAAAATTTTAGACCACGTAAATTCCCTGAGCGAATCGAAAATGGTAATTCCAAAAGATTCCACGATTATTTAATTCTCAAGTTCGCTCACACAATTCTTTACTATTATATTAATTCAGATCGCCAACTTTGAAAAGACTGCGCTACTATGGCATAAAAAGTACCAGGAACCATATACATCTGAGGATCCATCAAAGAAATGGAAAAGTTCATCGCGTGTCGTAATGTCTTTTGTATTTCCGGTATATGGACTTTACGTCGCTCAAAAATTATGGAAATTGAATAAAACACACGATAAAAGGATAGGTCCCGGTGGAAGCGTTCACATGTCAATGTATATAACTTCAGGATCAAATGACATTAATAGTTTAGAGAGGAGAGGCCCTTACACATTTGGGTACGTTTTTTTTTTTTATTCAATATCATGTGAACATGAATTACGAATTCTTACAAATCCCTCTTCCACGAAAAAACCCATCGATTTATTATAAAACAGCGTAAATATAGAAGATTCCGAATTGATGAACTACCAAGATAATATGGGGTCACCGCCATCGCGCGTTTTTACTTATATCAACCCTGAAATACAGATTACTTGAATCGGTACTTGAAGGGAATGGCAACTTTGTGGACAAGCAAAGATACATGAGATGTGAATTATTCGGCAACTTACAATAAATGGTCCTTAAAAAAATCGTTAGATTTTTTTCATAAATATTGTAATTAACTGAATCACGAAAATACCATGATCCCCTAGTGAATATCTATTATTAGAAATTATCATTTACTTTCCTTTCCTTTCTATTCAATGTAAAGATTTTTCAATGTTTTTTCTATAAAGAGTTCATGTTAATTAAGATTCTGATATCTTTTAAAAAGTGTCAACCTAATACCTGTCTTTTGCTTCTCCCACTATTTTTAACACTGGAGCCATTGAAATTGAAAGATTTCAATGGATCATCTTTACGTTTCTGAGGTGTGCAATAGTGTATTATATGTTAACGATGCAATTTAACTTGATTGCTTTTTAGAAAAGATACCTTTGCTCCATAGGTACGTTTGCTCGGTCTTCTATTGTTAGATGATGTTTTGCGAAACGGAATGTGACCGACATCAGTACCAACAGCAACAGGTGTAGCGATCTTTGGCATTAGATAGGAGGGTACATGCTTCATGTGTTGTTGAACTCGTGCGGGATGAATCGTTGTGTCATGTCGCAGTATTTTTAGATCATTTGGATTATCTTCAAAATGACTCTACGTAAAACGCAATGTAAATAGAAGGATTTACGTGCATCAAAGAAATAATTTCTTTACCTTCAGTTTTTCCGAATTCAGAATTTCTAATTTGATATCTTTCAAACGTGCCTCTCGGATGGCCGCACGCGTCACAGCTCTCAATGCATCTTCCGTTCGATATCGAAACCCTTCTACTTGTTTCATATCAAATGAATATGGTTTCAAGGTTGCCCCGATCATCGACTGCCGCTTTTCAACTCGCTGGTATACCTCTTCGTCGTGTTTTGCCGTTGAGCATGCAACATTTTTGTGCATTCCGACAAACTCTTTTGGAACAACGAAGCTTAAACTCATTCCTTTGTGAACAGCTCTTGCCGTTCGACCTATTCTGTGAGTATATGATCTTGCGGATGTTGGAAAATCAAAATTGATAACGGCCGCAACATTGATAAAATCGATACCACGAGAGACTCCATATTCATTATCTTTTTTCGGAATATTAGATTTTGTATTTTGCTGTTTATCTGGAAGTGTGAATTTTACTTTTGATGAGGAGCCCTCTTGCGCTTCATCCTTCAATGATTCACCATCATCTAAACGCGAGAATTAATGTTTCAACAAATATTTGATCATTGGTGATATTTTGCACGTTTTGCCTACCGCTCATCTCGTCTTCAGTGTCGAGATCTGCTTTCAAATCATCCTCATCCGTTGCCACGATATAGTCATAGATTCCTTTGTTAAATTCCTGTACGATATGATATCTTCAAAAGAATAAATGAATCGTCATTTGATATTATGAGGCCACAATAAAATGCTCACCTTGAATTCAAAGGCAATTCCGAATTTAATACACAAGCTTTTATTGAGAATTGTTCCAAAAACAATTTGAGACGGTAGCATCGATCAATATCGTTCACAAATATAATGCATTTTCCCTTGATAAGACGTAACTTCAATATAACATAGATCAGGAGAAATTTGTCGATCTCGGAACATCTGTATCAACTGAGATGTCAACACAATGTAACATAAAAAGAAAAAAAACAACACAGATGCGGTGATGTAATTACCGAACACAATACTGAGTGAGCTGATTAACTTCATTCTCTTCGTGCAATGTAAGGATCACCTACAGATTACGCAAGTCTATGATAATTATGTTTTATTAATTCGTATGACCTCCTCCCCCCAAAAAAATTTTCTGAACCATACAGGATTCCGCAACAGTAAATGTTTCAATCTATCGATATCCTGTAATGTAGAAAGTAAAGAAAAGTACCCTCAACATATGCTCTCAATCAAATGTTGAATGATCGAGTACGTATCCAAAGGTGCGCGTACCTTTGTTAAAGTCGCGCTCATAAGGTAACATTGAAATATTTTTGGTAAGTAGGTCAATATTTTTTGTACATCTTCTTCGTAACCATAGGAAAGTACAAGATCGGCTTCATCAATCACTAAAGATTCGAGTGTGGTACGCACATCAAGATTCTTTGACATTGAATGATCCAATCTATTAGAAAATGAATTTTTTGAAGAAGAAACAATATGATTAGAAAGTGGTGCTTACCTGAGCTTCAAAATTGGCCAACGCTCGACTTGGTGTTGTCACGACAATATCCGGAGATTCTGCTAAGATTGACCTAAAAGAAGAAGAAGAATATTTCTTTCAAGTCACAATTCGACGAAACCATTTTAAATCGTGTAAAAATATAAATACTTTTGTAAGTGCACCGGTATGGTATTTGCTATGTTGACCACTCTCACCTCCTTCGAACAATATACTATGAAACTATTAATGTGTCTCGTGACTTGTTCGGCCAACTCACGAGTTGGGACCAGAATGATCGAGCGTATTTTAGCAGAATCCGTCGAAGATTCTAACGCAGCCTAATTATTTTCACAAATGAATCTAAATCCTTTTTCATTCTGATCGGTCAAGTTTTTCAGCCGACGGAAACTGGGAATCTCGGAAATAACTTGCCTCCTTTGCATTCAATATTTTTTGGATAATTGGTAGACAGTATGCGGCCGTTTTTCCACTTCCGGTTCTTGCTCTCGCTAATATGTCTTTCCCGGAAAGCGCCAAAGGAATTGCTTTAACTTGCACCGGGGTAGGCTTATGAAAGTTGAGCTTCGATAGCGCACGCGAAAGTCTGGGATCGAGCTCCTTAAATTCCATATTATTTAAACTTGATAAAAAAAAAAAAAAAAACATTTATGCGTGTTTATTAAATCACGTGATTGTGTTACGTTGAGAGTGGTATAGCTAGAAGGCTTAAGCGAAATTGATCTTTGGTCCCGTTAAAATGGAATACGATGAACCTATTCACCTCCAACCGATTCGTAACACTCCTTCTACAGTTGAGAACTCTGGTAGTTTAAACTTTAAAGATTTCCATCAAAGTATTGAACGTCATCTGGCAGCTAATAGACTTTTCCTTTCACAAAGTTCTCTACTCGTCACCCTCTGACGGTTCTTCACATATCACCATAAATCTGGCGAGAAATGAGTCTGCCTACACGATAGAGCGCTCTCCAAATGTTGTTCAAAATTTCTTGTCAGAAATAGATCCTAAAAGTCCAATATCACTCACTTGGCAAAATGCGGTTAGAAATGCAACATACATCTTATCGTGGTATTTTTTTTCTACAGCACTATCATTTTATAATAAGAATCTTATGGGAAAAGATCACTTCAATTTAAATCTGCCGTTACTTGTGAGCGCGATGCATACTGGAATGCACTTCCTGATTACATTAGTATTGATGAAAGGTTACCTACCCTCATTCTATAAAAAGTCAGAAGAGAAACCTGTCTCCTCGGATAGTTATCTGAGTCGAGTGGTAAGTCCAAAATATGAGACGAGATTTCATATATGGTTATCATATAATAAATACTCCTGAATTACGCGGTACACTGTATAGGTTCCTTGTGCTCTTACGGCGGCTTTTGAAATATGCATGGCCAATGCTTCGCTCGTGTTTATCACTTTGAGTTTCTACACCATGGTAAGAATTCGATCTCCTCGAAATTTTCACTGACAGACATGATAATAATAGTAATAACCACCATTATTCATTCGTTTTTTTGTAGGTAAAATCTTCAACACCAATATGGGTGCTCATGTTCGCGTTCATCTTTAGATTAGAACAACCCAGAGTTATTTTAGTATTCATAATATTTGTCATAAGTACCGGTGTGGTGATGACGGTTTTTGGAGAGACTCAATTCAATCTAATAGGTTTTTTGTTGGTTTTGGGAGCATCGGTGGTTAGCGGATTGAGGTGGTCATTAACACAAATACTACTCCAAAAAGAATCATCCATGAACGATCCGGTGGCCACCCTTTACTACATATCACCAGTCATGTTTAGTACAATGTCAATTCTTTCCCTACTATTAGAAAACCCTTATCATGTTTTCACCACTTCCGAACATTTCAAAGATTTTGAAACCTCAATTAGTACCTTTGCACTGATGATGTCTGGAGGACTTCTTGCATTTTTCATGACTCTCTCAGAATTTGCGTTGATCAAGAACACCAGCACGGTGACATTGTCAGTTGCCGGAATTAGTAAAGAGATAGTAATGATCACGTTGTCCGTCCTCATATATCACGACAAATTAACATCACTGAATGTACTCGGGTATGCATACTTTCTCTTACGATTGGTCATCCGTTTTTTTAAAGAGTTTACTAAAAGTTCACTATTCTATTTTATTAATTACAGGCTTTTTGTTTCAATATCGGGAATTGCTGGTTATAATTATTATAAGGTTATGAAGAGCAATAATGTAATTGACAAAAAAGGAAGATATCAAGTATTATCCATACATAAAAATGAACAGCTGGACTAGTCAAATGTTTAGCGCACAATTTTTAGAAAGTGAAGATACTTTATCTCATAGAATGTACATTTCTAGAATTTGCGATTATTATAATGTGCAAGGATATAGGATATTTCATTCAATATTTTTTTTTTTTTTAATATTTTAATTGTTCAAAAAAACCTAGTCACGTGGTACTTTCGACCTGAGTGATCTAATAATAGTCACTGATGTGGGATAATATACTAGTTATCCAACGGTAACTTAAGTTTAATCTGTCCGCCTATGAAATTTGACTGCCAAATGTGTTAGTTATAGGTGCATGAACATCTGATAACTCGTTTACCCCGCTGTGTGTTTATACATGTGAATCAGCTGTATATGCTGATCTATGCGATTCCAATGTTTATTTATTGTTGAAATTACTATATATCGAAGTGACAGTATACGGTTCGTTTAAACTTCCATAACTCAAAATGAATAATTATTAAAATAAGGTATTGCATGTATTTATTTATTATTTAAAAAAAAAAAATAATAATAATTAAAAGTGATGGATGGACATTTTAATAGAATCCTTATTACCATTTTTGTATCTATAAGAAGTTATCCATTTATTTAGTTTATTATTGTATATTGTTATAAATTTATTTTCTGACGAATCATATGGTGCTAAATTTAAATTTCAACTGAATACTCTTTATTATTGTATGTTAGTAAAGTACCGTTATATCAAATTCTAAAATATTAGATATTAGATTACAATAATTTTTTATTTCTGTAATTTTTATCATTAAACTTTTTTTTTTTAAAGTCCATAAAATCATTACTTTATTTAATTATTATATACTGTAACACCGATTTTTTAACTAATGCATATGTAAAGTACACATCGTTTATCATAACACTGAATCATTATCTCCTCTTCGATAATTTAAATATGCAGAAATTTTTGTCTCGGAAAAGTGAACGCTAGGGAAAGTGCACACGTAAATGAAAATAAATGATCAAGGATAATCTGTCGTACATGCGTTACAAATCTCAACATTAAATTCCTGTCATAATTTATGAATTCTTCACTGCTTCAATTAAAGGTCCGATTAACGTGGGATTCGATAAAGTACTTAGGTCGCCCAATTGATCCGTTTCTCCATCAACAACTTTCCTCAAAACTCTTCTCATGATTTTTCCGCTTCGAGTCTTTGGTAGATCCTTAACAACATAAATTTTTTTGGGGGTCGCGAATGATCCAATTACCTTACGTACTTGGAGAGTCAGTTCTCCCAAATCGGTACTTTCACAATGTGGCTTTAGCGTGGTGAATGCGTGCACAGCTTGACCTGTCAGATCGTCGTGAACACCAATCACGGCAGCTTCGGCCACCGATGGATGAATGATCAAGGCGGCTTCAATTTCAGCAGTGGAGAGGCGATGCCCCGATACGTTTATGACATCATCAACACGACCTCGAATCCAATAGTATCCGTCAGAATCTCTGCCAACACCATCCCCGGTGAAGTAATAACCTTTATAACGGTGCAAATAGGTTCGAAGGTATAGATCATGATTATTATATACAGTACGCGCGATCGAAGGCCACGGCTGACGAATGGCCAATACGCCTTCAGCCTTGGTTTCTTTTATCTCTTGTCCTGTGAGCGGATCTAATATGACAAGGTCGATACCAAATGAAGGGACGGTGGCAGAACCTGCTTTTGTCATCACGGCACCGGGGAATGGAGAGATAATAATCGAACCGGTCTCGGTTTGCCAATAAGTATCAATGATAGCACATTCATTTCTTCCGACCACCTCATTATACCATTCCCAGGCTTCTGGTTGAATGGGTTCACCTACAGATCCAATAAGTCTCAAACTTGAAAGATCATGTCCATCCACGTGTTCACGACCATATTTACGCAACAGCCGAATGGCGGTAGGCGCAGTATAAAATTGAGTGATTTTGTGTTTTGACACGGTCTCCCAGTACCTTGACGGCGAAGGGTATATAGGCGTAGACTCAAATAGTACGGTGGTAGCACCGTTGATCAACGGACCGTAAATAATGTAGGTGTGACCAGTAATCCAGCCAATGTCAGCCATACAACCATGGACATCTCCTTCATGATAATCAAATACATATTTAAAGGTCACGGCAGCCCCTAGTAAATAACCGGCAACGGTATGAAGAACGCCCTTCGGTTTACCCGTAGAACCGGAAGTATAAAGTATGAAGAGAGGATCTTCAGCATTGACAATTTCAGGTGGGCAATAAGGTCTTTGTTTCTCAATTTCTTCATGCCACCACAAATCTCTTGAGGGATTGAACGGAACATCAGAACCAGTACGGCGGAACACGAAAACACGTTTTACATTTGGGCACTCCTTCAACGCATCGTCGACAATCTTTTTGGTATGAATAATTTTGCCACCACGACAACCTTCATCAGCAGTAATAACAATTTTGCTGTCAGCATCTTTGATACGATCTCTTAAAGCCTCGGAAGAGAAACCGGCAAAGACCACAGAATGGACGGCTCCCAAACGAGCACAAGCTAAAAAGGCTATAACAGCTTCCGGTACCATAGGCATATAAATCGCGACAGTGTCCCCTTTTTTTAAACCATGATGTTTCAAAACATTGGCAAAACGGCAAACGTCACGATATAGCTGACCGTATGTAATCTTACGGTCCTGACCAGGTTCATCAGCTTCATAAATGATGGCAACCTAGAAAAAATTGTTATTTTAAGAATATAATGAGATAAAACAAGAATAGACGCGTAATTAGAAACTGAATTAGAAATTACTAAACCTTATCGGGATCTTTAATAGCATGCCTATCAACACAATTATAGGAGGCGTTTAATTGACCCTCTTGGAACCATGAAATATCCCCATGCTCGAAACCGCCGGATAAAACGGTCTCAAAAGGTTTATGCCAGTGAAGGAATTCTTTGGCACACTATTCATCATGATACATACATATTATAAAGTGAAGAATGTGAGTGATAGTTTGTGGTGCGATTTTCTTGTGTAATAATATTTTAGACGAAAATCCAATAAGATCCTCATTCATTGCATGAGAACAACAACACACACCCTTCCCCAAAATTCTTTAGGATTAGAAATACTCTCTTGGTAGAGTTCGTTATACTTCTCGATAGAGTGAACGTGCGGCTTTGGATTTTTTGATTCATCCAATAAACGTTCTGGAATTTGATGAAGAGCAAATTCAATGTTAAGATGGTCTGTAGACATTTTAGGGACGACATTGCAATCAAAATTTAGTGATGGTATTTATGTGTAAATCTAATTATGCGGCCTATGCATACATGTAACCAATTGTGGTACTCTTTTTGCTGAGTATATATAGTATGTAAACGTACGTACGTGGAACAATTAGCATTTTCGACGGTAGTTTTGAACAGATGTAGATGTTGTGTTAACTCTCGTTAATCATTCATTTTTTGGCTGCCATTTTACCTTTACATCTATATTTCTAGTTTACCGGTAATTAGCACATTTTTCAATGATTCACTAATGATGTAACAGATAATTAATCAACATGATCATGAATTTTTTCAAAGATAAACGTTAATTATAGTTTGGGCGTTTATAAAATTGAAAATTTGTAAAGGTTCTACAAAACCACGCCATGTTCTACCTTTTTCTCAAGATTATGTCAATCAATAATAAACGCCAATGTACGGTGGTTTTTTTTTTCATAAATACTACAAAAATAAATGTACAGTATATTTCAAACGATCGAATGAAAATAAAATGAAATAGCACTTAAGATTCGACTTTTTTATATTTTATCTACATAGATAGATATACAGGTACGTGATAAAGATTGTTTTGCCTTTGATCGAGTTTCGAAAATAAACATTAAATAATTCTATAATTCTATATGTAAATCGATTATATTGAAAAACTCTATAATTTTTTATCAAAAAAAATACTATAGAACGAAAGTTTTCCACAATTAAATTATCAATATATTTAAGCCGAACTGAACTTGCATACTTCCGAGCACGATTATAAAACCAATTAAAAAATTTACTTTTTTTTTTTTAAAAAAAAAGATACAATATATAAAATTTTTAGCTTCAAAGATTTGGTGTTATAATGGTTTCATAAAAAATAAATCTAACCTTTTATTAGTTTATTAATTAATCTATATTTAGTTTATTAACAATTTACTTTTAAATTATCATATCTATATTTTTTATATTCTAAAAAAAAAGCAATGTTCTTATTTCTGATGATCTAATAATTGCAACAGATCGCATCAAATCAAATTGAATCAGATTTTAATTAAATCAAATCAAATCTATTTTTATAAATACAATTTTGATTTTGATTTTATTTGATCTGATTCAACTCAATTCAATTTAAATTATCTTGTTTTAATTTATAAATTTTTTACTATTATTAGAAGTCAAGCTATTCAAGTTATCTTGATTTAAATTATATAACTAATAATTGATTTTAAAAATTATAAAATAAATAATTGAAATTGAAATTACTATAAACTACTAGTATTCTTTCTAATTTTTTTAATAGTATTATTCTTTTTTTTTCTAAGTAATTTTTCTGGTAAAATAATTAATACTCAAGATATTATATATAGTGATTTATAATATTACTTTTAATAAAATTAATAAAAAATCAAAAAATCAAAATAAATATATTTTATTAATACATTTTATCTATACAATTATAAAATAATTTTTAATAAAACTAATATTATTTTATTTACTTTATGAATAAACATTTCAATTATTTATAACAATTATAAATAAAATATTATAATTAATAATTCTTGATTAATTATATATTTTATTGAAAAACTTATTCTAATAACAAAAATAAATAAATAAAAATATTATAAAAAATTAATAAAATAGATAAAAATATAAACAAAATATAAACAAAATTAAAAAATTCAAAATTAATAATATAATATTAATCTATAATATACATGTGGTAAAAATTATTGAATTGAGTCAGATGTAATTAAAAATAAAGAATTTAACAATTAAGTCAAATCATATTTTTTTATAGTTGACACAATTATTTTGATGCAATTATTTTGACGCAATTATTTTGACACAATTATTTTGGTGCAATTATTTTGACGCAATTATTTTGATACAATTATTTTAATACAATTATTTTAATACAATTATTTAATACAATTATTTTGATACTATTTTTTTAATACAATTATTTAAATTAAAATTAATATAATTATTTTGATTTTTATTTTTTTGTTTTTTTTAGAGACAAAGCGTATTACATGTGATAGTTTTTATTAACTTTTTATGAAACAAAGTTACACCTATTACATGAAGAATCTGATTAACTATTTCTAGCTATTCTAATCCTAGTGCTACCTCTTTTTCTAACCCAAGTACCAACTTACACCAAGGAGATAGATTCGTACTCAAGCGTGGACTACAGAGAGCTTTTTTGTTTTTTGTTTTTTGCCTGTATGACCATCACTAGGGTCCCCTATCACCTTACCCTATGACTCACATACTCAGATATCATGAATCTTACTGCATTACACTTCCTAATAAATGCTCCAAGAGTTATTCCTATGGTTAACGCAGACTGCCAAACCTGAAGACCATCAGGCCTAGTGGGACGCGACTCATAAATCCTCCAGCAGACACTCTATAGGCTCTTAGTTGGCTTAGACTGCCAAATCTAGGGGTACAAATACCAAGCAGAGCGCAACTCCTATAAAGTGGCCTTGAATCTCCAAATATGCCTGTAGGGTTCTGGCCCGTTTTAAGTGATCATCCTGAAGTTGCCTAATGGGGTCAACAGGTTTTTTCTTTTATAGTCTCATGGACTATAGGAGAGAAAATGATTGATATGGAACTGGGAAATACACCAAGCACAATGTTGATCATCATAACATCATCCAGATGATCAGCGCGCCACAACACCTTTTCTGGAGAACACAATCTCAACGCCTGCTGAATCAGTGTGTGAAACGGCTTCGTATGAGAAACAACACATGACAGGTTACGGTGCCAGATATTATATGGAACTATTCAATCGCCTTCACCTGGGATTGAACCAGTATCTTGTGATCTGACCTGTGGAGTACTAACCACTGCATTATGGACCCACAGGTCAATTATTTTAATTTTTATAAAATTCTTTAATATAAAATACATATATAATATAAATATATTGTTAAAGGTAAAAATAGTAATACAAAAAGATAGATAAATAAAAAAAAGATAATTAGATCTATTTGATATATTAAGTATATCAAGTGTATTGGTATATCAGATATATTAGGTATATTAGGTATATCAAGTATATTAGATATATTAAGTATATCAAGTATATAGTAAAGAAGTATAAAAGTAACAAGTAAAGCAATTGAGAAAAGGTTGGTCATTCGATATAACTATAATAAATCAACAGATCCACAATATATACTAGACCAAAAACATATACGCCTATTTCAAAGAAAGACGAGTTATGACTGTTATATAGCGTAGTCCAGATCAAAGCAACAGACTCGCTGTGTTGTACTACAACAATATAATATAAATTATTTTGTTATTAATTTAATTTAATATATTAATTATAAATATTATTATACTATTTGATATAAAA